CCCCAAAACCCCAAAACCCCAAAACCCCGTCATTTTGAATTAAGAAAATAAAGAAATTATTGGAGTATTTTAAAGTTAAAAGTATTTAAATTTATAATCCATTGCCTATCATTTGACATATACTTCAACATTATCAATTCCGAGACTCTTTTCGCAGGGATCATTGCCTAAATTAGCTTTAAATGTTAATTTCATAGTATCCAAGCTATGAACAGTATCAATGATCACAGGCACATTAAAAGCAGCTTCTTTGAAATTTCCTCCGCAAAGATCAACTGAATTCTCACTAGCTCTAACTGATTTCATCCAGGAAACTTGATTATCGATAGCGACAGTAGCTGTTTCTCCTTTCCAGTTATCCAAAAAGTGAAGAGAAGCCATCACTAGTAATTTACTATGCTTAGGTAGATCTCTATATTCCTTAGAGACTTCTTAATTACTTAAAAGGCAATGACCTCCAAGGAACCTGTCTTGAGAATTTTGGCAGAATGAGGTCTAAGTGAAACTCCAACCTCCTTTCTCTACATCTTCTTTATTATTGAAATCATCCTTGCCAACAAGAACCCAATCGTTTTATGAATCGGCATATTACCTTTAAAAGCCCTCTTAGGGATTGTGCAGCTATTATGAAGCTGCAGTAGATTGTGTAAGTTTATGAGGCATGGAAATTTAAACACGACTCCTACCAGTACTCTTTAGCATGGCGTTTTAAATAGCAGGAGATTTTATCACCTCATCTGCATCTTCTATTATCAGAGAACCTTAGATTATTATTGGATTGCGAGATTCACCTAAACCTTAAATCACATCAACATACAACTGTTAAGTGTCAACTACTTTCGATTTAATTGAGTCAGCAGATAGTAATTCATCAATATTACAAACCTCCTTAACATGCAGCTTTTTGAATACACCTTCATTTGCTTGCAGAGTACCATTGACACTAAGATCTTTGCTGAATAGGACTTTAGACAAGGTGTACTTGACTTGTCCAGTTAACAAAAGAAGTGCTGTGAATTTTAATAATTAGCCTGTTTTCATTTTGAGTCTTAATTATAATTTCCTTAAACTATTTTGAAATGATGTCTTATGGGGTTTTGGGGTTTTGGGGTTTTGGGG